AGGTTGCTTACTCTCACCCTTTCTCTTTCTCCTGGTGATCGACTGGATCATGAAGACATCAACGTCTGAAGGGAAGCGCGGGATACAATGGACATCTATGATGCAGTTGGATGATCTAGACTTCGCAGATGATCTTGCCCTTCTATCCCAAACGCAACAACAAATGCAGGAGACGACGAACAGTGTGGCAGCAGCCTCAGCAGCAATAGGTCTCAATATACACAAAGGGAAAAGCAGGATTCTCCGATACAACACAGAATGCACCAATCCAATCACAATTGACGGAGAAGATTTGGAAGATGTAAAAACCTTTACGTATTTGGGCAGCATCATTGATGAACAGGGTGGATCTGATGCAGATGTGAAGGCGCGGATCGGCAAGGCAAGAGCAGCATATTTACAACTGAAGAACATCTGGAACTCAAAACAACTGTCAACCAACACCAAGGTCAGGATTTTCAATACAAATGTCAAGACAGTTCTACTATATGAGGCAGAAACCTGGAGAACTACGAAAGCCATCATCCAGAAAATACAGGTGTTTATTAACAATTGTCTACGCAAAATACTTCGGATCCGTTGGCCGGACACTATTAGCAACAACCTACTGTAGGAAAAAACAAACCAGATCCCAGCGGAGGAAGAAATCAGGAAGAAGCGCTGGAAGTGGATAGGACACACATTGAGGAAATCACCAAACTGCGTCACAAGACAAGCCCTTACATGTAATCCTCAAGGCCAAAGGAAAAGAGGAAGACCAAAGAACACACTACGCCGAGAAATGGAAATAGACATGAGAAAAATGAACAAGAATTGGATGGAACTAGAAAAGAAGACCCAGAACAGAGTGGGTTGGAGAATGCTGGTCGGCGGCCTATGCTCCATTGGGAGTAATAGGCATAAGTAAAGAGTAAAGTAAAATGCATACGTTATCAAGCATCTTCGTACGTTTCTTCACTCATTTAGTAGGTAAGTGGTTCATGTACAAACAGTATTCACTAGATGTTTATTTCAAGCTCTAAATTTCATTTTAGTTGCCTTTTTCACATGGCAAGTCAGGATGCGCGATAGTGGCATGATTATAGAAAACATTCAGAAAAATTCATATAATTACTATGAAATCCCAGTTGAAAATACGTATCAGTCGATCAACTATACAGAAGTAAGGTATATTACACAAGAGAGAACATCCTATTAAAATGAATTATTTTAAAGACCGAAATTAGGAGGCGCGTGAACTAGAAAGTTTTTGTGACTGACTTCAAGAAGTCTCCTTTATCTGACTCGAACTCGGTTGTATGATTATCGTTGTCGAAATACACGTGTCGCCAATCCTCGTATATAATCATCGACCTAAATCGCGTTAGTGAATAACAGAATTAAATAATCCAAACACGAAAATGGATTTTTGAATACCTATATTTCATACAATCGTCGATTGGAAAGTGAAGCAAAACAAAATGACGCACAATCGAAAAGGAGGTGAGTCAACTCGGTTTAACCAGGCATGAGTAGATATTTATAGTCAAACGAAAATAAGTTACAGACATGTGGTAAGATAGAAAATGCACACACATGAGCTTACACAAAAACAGTCAGGTCTGATAAGCGAATGAGTAGCAGGGTGAAAATGTGGCTTGAGAAAAATAAACAGACCGGTCCATCTAGAGGCTAGAATAACTTATGTGGGCTTGGCATGGTACCAGCCATCGCAAACATACGTAAACACTGAAGAATCAAACATCAACCCCAGAAGGTCCACAATTCTCTCAGTCTAACTATATGGAACATATGATCGTTAAAACAGATAGTAAGAGCCAGACTTCATGTTCACGAACTTTAACTAACTGCTTGTCAGAAGAGAATCGGAATCATCCTTATTACAAAGTACCTGTTGACTGAATAGATGTGGTTAAAACTTTTCAGTTATTGTGTATGTATATGTTTATATGTATCCTTATATTTCGGCAAGATTTAGTCGACAAGCGACTGTGTTTTCGGTTATTAGATGGAGGAGTAAGTAAAATTACCAAAGAGTTCGAGAACTCATGACATTGATGTTCGAATTCTAAAATCTCTGGTAGTTCTGGACAACATGAGAAGAGAAGAAGATATCTGTACAACATGCCCGATTGAAGCTGCTACCTTGACGCGGCGGTCGGGCTTGCCTATCGTGATGACCCAACCGAGCTATATTGGCTGGAACATATGTTCCTGCAGGTTCTACCATGCCAGGCAGGTCGATTGGTGAACGGTAAGACTAAAAGCAGCAACTCAAGGTCTGAGGGCGAAGTCGTACTGCTGACTGTAAGAGGTGTGACAGCAGTAAGGTGTTTCCCTCGGACAACCAGCATGACAGCGATGCTGCCTTCCCACAAGGAGGGGTGGGGTTAGAAAAGGTCGACCCTAAAAATGTCACACCTCACCTTACCTCACGGATTTCCGTCTCCGGCGGTAAGGCCCTTTGAAGAACGGAGCTAACACGTCAAAAACCTTCCACAAAAAGGCCGTGCGCGACCGGCCTCAAGCAGTTGTCCCTTGGGCTCTGCGGTCACGCTCCCAGGTCGTCAAGACCAACACTAATCCAATTTCCTTTTCAGGTTCCTCAAGAAATACCCTTCCACGGTGTGGGCAGCCGGGAAGTGACATCAGCCCTCATACCCGTAACAGCACAAGAGACCAAGGTGGTCACATTCAAATCCTTCCTACACCTCCTAATACCTCTCTTATCTCCATGACTAACCCTCCTCACGTCTCTTTATCACCTCGCACCGCTAGGGCAAACGATTCGAGTACGTGGAACGCCATTCCTGGTCTCCTGAAACCACGCTCTAAACTACACGTAGGAGCTTTTAACGTACGAACACTTTGCCAAATAGGACAGCAGGCTTCCTTAGCTAAAACTTTAGAATCTCGCGCCATCGATGTGTGCTGCGTCTCCGAAACGCGCATACAGGATCCAAGTAGCGTCATTCATTTGACCTCACCATGCCAAAATAAAGAACCGACTCGATTTACGCTTCGTGTATCTGGAAGCCCTGATTCTGCTTCCCGTGGCCTCGCCGGCGTAGGTATAGCATTGAGTCCTAGGGCAGAACTAGCTCTCTTAGAGTGGATCCCAGTAGACAGTCGTTTGTGCGCTGTCCGACTGAACGGAACAGTAAGAATCCGGAAAGATAGGGACACTCGTCGTTGCCTCTTCGTCGTCTCTGCCTATTCTCCCACTGACTGCAGCTCAGATGATGTAAAAGATGAGTTTTACAGAAAGCTTTCGGATGTAGTAATAGTGGCCGGTGACTTTAATGCTCAAGTAGGTAAACTAAGCGATAGGGAAAGACACCTAGGTGGATCTTATGGTGTCGTGGCTCAAAGAACAGATAATGGCGACCGTCTGTTGCAGCTATGCTCAGATAACCGCCTGTTCCTTGCAAATACTAACTTTAAGCATAAGGAAAAACATCTTTTAACATGGCGACCCCCTAATTCGTCCCAACGTTGGACCCAAATAGATCACATCGCTATCAGCCACCGATGGAGGGGCTCGATAGAAGACTGTCGCTCATTCTGGAGCACATGCCTAGATTCAGATCATGCTCTAGTGCGAGCGCGTATTTGCTTGCGTCTTACTGGACGTAGGAAAGACGCTGCAAGGAAACCTCTTAGGGCCTACTTAATGATAGTCAAGCTAAGAGTATATTTCAGGAACAACTAGGAAAACAGTTAGGCAGCCATGTATGTGATGCCCACCCCGATGCAGCATGGAATGATATCCGAAAAGCTGTGGAAACAGCAGTGATATCTGCTAGTAAGGTAAACCAGAAGGTTAGGGAGCAACACTGGATCTCAGCAGCATCTATCGCACTGATAGATGCTCGGAAACTCATTCCACCTGGCTCTGAACATAATGAAGAGCGGAGTCAGCTTAAGCGCAAGCTGACAAGAAGTCTACGCAATGATCGCGAACAGTGGTGGGTAGCGAAAGCAAGAGAGATGGAAAAGGCAGCGGCAATAGGTAATAGCAGACAATTGTTCAGACTCGTTAAGGAAACCGGAATTAGGAACCCGACCGTTAGCGAAACAATCTCAGAGAAAGATGGACATATTATTCATTCTCAATCCAGGAGATTGGATCGATGGGCAGAACACTTTAGGGATCAGTTCAACTGGCCTTCAGCCACACTTCGGTTTCCCACGATCTCCAGTCAACCTGAATGGCAAGTTAATGTAGGTCCTCCGTCCCTTTACGAAGTTGAAAAAGCCATAGGAAATCTGAAACGAGGGAGAGCAGCAGGCCCTGACAGGTTTACTCCTGAGATTTTTAAGGATGGTGGTCCAGTATTAGCAATGAGATTAACTGAGGTCTTAGGTAGAATTTGGGAACTGGACGTAATCCCATCTGACTGGTCTCAATCACTGATTGTGCCAGTCTATAAGAAAGGACAAAAGTCCTCTTGTGACAATCACAGAGGAATCAGTTTGACTAATATAGTGTCTAAAATATTAGCTTCAATAATACTTCGACGCCTAACTAAAGCTCGTGAAGAGCAGACTAGAGAAAACCAGGCTGGTTTTCGACCTGGACGTGGTTGTATAGATCAGATATTCACACTACGTCAGGTTCTAGAACACAGACACACATTCAGACGCCCCACAATGGTAGTATTTCTCGACCTTAAGGCGGCATTCGACTCTGTTGATCGTGAGGTTCTATGGCAGTGTTTGTCACTGAAAGGAGTACCAAAGAAGTACATTAACCTTATAAAGGCTCTCTACTCGAACACAACTGGTAGAGTGAGAGCTTATGGCGAACTGTCATCAGAATTGATTACCTCAAGTGGTGTTCGTCAGGGCTGTCCACTCTCCCCATTCTTGTTCAACTTTGTGGTCGACGTACTTTTAGAGATAACACTCTCCTCATCTAAATTTCCAAGGGTTGAACTTGTACCGGGAGGTTCAATATGGGACATCTATGTACTTAGTGACACCTCCCATGACGGATAATGAACGTAAGTGGATAAGCAGGCACGTTGTGTTTATGATGTAAATATACTCAGGATGTTATATCCGACGTACATAGAGTCACATTTAGAAAATGGGGTTCAGTTAGTAATATCTTGTCAGAATTGTGTAGATGGTACACCAGGACGGGTTCAGAGGCGATTAACACAAATAGTGGACTTTATCTCTAACAAATCTTAAGAAAAAAACCCGAGAAATATTGGACTAAATAAAAAACAATAATCTACATCTGGGTTTTCATTGATCTCATCAAGTAGTGCATTACTGGAATTCTATTAGTATGCTCTAAGGAACACTGGATTCTCATAGTAATAAAAACTATAAAGTCACTCAGTAATTGATATAATAGATTGTTCAAAAAATTTTTGTCTCTCAAGTATAGTACGGTAGTACGTCAATGCAATATAGGACTAGTCACATTATATCAGGATCAGGATTTATGAACCAGAATAGAGAACCGGGTTAACACTAGGTAATACTCTATTCGATTCAGTTATAGGCAACTACATTCAGTTAGTTCATGGTAGAAATCAATGAAAGGAAAGGAAATCACAAATTTATTAGTCCGCATGTTGTTTGTTGTTTGAGTACTATAGACTTCCATTACTTTTAAATCTCGAGTCGTTTTCCTAAATGAGAGTCAGATAGTAGTACCGTCGAACCCCGTACATTCAGAACTTTAATCTTTTACTGATACTTCTGAAGAGTGAAGACGGACTGCTGCCCTCGCAGCTATTATTTAGTGTTTGTAGCGTCTAAACCCCTTTACTAGTATGGGGTTGTGGAGACTATTAAGTTTTAATTGAGATCTTGAACCAATTGATGTTAGACCATCACAATTGAAAACCTGGAAGCACTGGACGGCCGTTTCGTCCTATTGTGGGACTCCTCAGCAGTGCGCATCCACGATCCCGCGAGCGGGATTCGAACCCAGGGCCTTCGGTCGCGCGCGCGAACGCTTAACCAACTGGACCACTGAGCCGGCATCCAATGGTGATAGTTTCTAACATCAACCAATCCACGAAATTGCGCGACCCACTTCCATTGTCTTTAAGTAGATAACTGTCTCTACCCGACAAGGATTAGCTCCACTGGTCACGGCTTCTCACTAGAACTCCGAGAATTCCCTCACGAAGCTAGTCACTAGTGAGCACATGTTGATTACTAGTATGGGGTTGTGGAGACTATTAAGTTTTAATTGAGATCTTGAACCAATTGATGTTAGACCATCACAATTGAAAACCTGGAAGCACTGGACGGCCGTTTCGTCCTATTGTGGGACTCCTCAGCAGTGCGGTCGCGCAATTTCGTGGATTGGTTGATGTTAGAAACTATCACCATTGGATGCCGGCTCAGTGGTCCAGTTGGTTAAGCGTTCGCGCGCGAGACCGAAGGCCCTGGGTTCGAATCCCGCTCGCGGGATCGTGGATGCGCACTGCTGAGGAGTCCCACAATAGGACGAAACGGCCGTCCAGTGCTTCCAGGTTTTCAATTGTGATGGTCTAACATCAATTGGTTCAAGATCTCAATTAAACCCCTTTAGTTTCGGGTTCTTTATGCCTCCTATGAGACGTCAGTTTCTAGCCCTTCCCCAAAGATAAAACCGAAGAACAATTGTACCGAGGTTATGACAATTCACAATCACTACAGAAATGATTAGAAAGTATATAGACGAGCTGCGTAAGTAGGCAAAACAGCGGTTGAATTGTTTGATGCAACTTCTACGTAAAATAAGAAAGATTGATCAAAAGGAGAGTTCGCTCTTCGGCAAGTTCATTTTCAAAGCTGTACGATCGCAAATATAAATATATATATACTTATTGTTCAAGCTGATGACGATTACAATAATAGTGATTATGAATTCCGTTTAACATGGTATCAGTAAGGTAGAACAAAAAGGTATTAAAGAGTTACATTTCTTTTATCAGAGAAACTGATAATAGTTTTGTTATTGATGCCCTGGATATTAGCCGTATAAATAGGGATGCCTCTGAATTAGACCATATACATGTAATCAAGAGAATCATAGAAACAGAAATATACCAGCTGCGGGAAGGCAGATGGTTTTGAATGAAGAAAAGTATGAATAAGAAAGAAAATAATGAAATATTAAGGCCATGACAGAAGAAGAGGTTGCACCAGTTTCTTTTGCACACATAATTTGAGTGTTTCCAGATGCACAGTTAATACCAGGGTAATGTTGGGAAGATACAATATAGCTACATTTGTCAGCATTCTACTTACCCTGTAGATTACTCTGAGTCAAGAGCCCGCTCCTATTAAATAACCCGTGTTCACAAGGTTTATGATTATTGGGCTTTTTCCGCCTCCTTTTGGCCAGGCAGGATAATATTTTTGAATTCCTTTGGACAAAGTACACATCAAATAATCTACATACCTGGCTCGATATTAGCAGGTAAATTGGTGAGTGCAAACAGAGTTGGGCAAATTAGATAATTTAATTTCAAAATTATTGAATAATGTTGATTGGCTGGAGATCACTATTCGCGAAGATGATGCGAAAAACGTTCTTCTTGGAGAACTGGAAATTCGCCACTTTAGGAAGTTTGTAACTTCACCACTCCTGAAATCGATGTTCATGTAAAGTGTTTTCTGTTCTACAGAGGTTATTTGTGCTCCATGTGGTTTGGGTTTTTTATTTGTCCGGCCAAATCTAGAATACATTAATTAAATAAACTGCTGAAGAAGTCAAAAATAGTTATTTGTTGTCGACGAGGTACGTCCCTGTGGAGTGGTAGACGCGATTCTGCTGGCTGATGACTGAACCCCCATGCTGTAACGCTGACAGACAACAGTGTGTGGAAGCATTTTATATGCGGGCCGTGAATAACATAATAATCAAACTAGTAAGGAATATAAACCAGTGTTCTATCAAATGAATAAATCGCTCCAAATGGTCTGAAAAAATAACACCATCGTCAGTCGGTAGCCCAGTTTAAGCAATCCAAGCAAATCTAAAGAAGAAACATGGCAGCCATCAAGAGAAGAAATCAATTAAAACAAAGTCAACATGATATGAAGATTACAATGCAAATAACATCAATAGTAACAATAACGTGGAATTAGAAACAAACGGAATACTGAAATGGTGATGATGATAAACTAGCTTTACAGACAAGAGTAAGCAAATTGGTTATTGTTACTTAAAACACATACACGAATGAATTGTCACTAGTTAGCATACACAAAACGTTGAGAAAAGATATTAGAATGTGTTTTTTCTATTTACCCTAACGAGGTTTGTAAATTCGTCGGTGAATAACTGAGAAGTACACCCGATATGTCAATAGAATATTTTATTGAAGTTCACAAACGCACTAAAAATGGGGCATAGATCAGTTTTACCAAATGAATTTTATGGGAAACCAACCTGACATAAGTTACATGTGGGCTAAAATCCGTAACCTTTCAGCCAGTTTTAATCATAGCTTAGAGAAATACATGCTACCAACGTGTTTCAACTCAAGTTGCTGGTTTAACTCATATGTTACGAACCGGTGTAATTCATGAAAATGGGTAAAAGAATCCGGTTTTGTGGCATGTAACAGGCGTTTCATGTGCGTATAATATCTATCGTAAAGCATTTAAGTACTGGGAAATCTACGGTGGTTGCTTCTTTGTACTTTAAACATAGTGAGAATAATTACCAAGGCTGGAAATGAATACTCAGCAAACAGGAAAGGGGGAAATATATCTGATAACACGAGCCAATTAATAAAAATTTAGTGCTCTTCAGGTGTCAAGTACAATGGAAACACTACACTAACGATTGCTTTCTTGGTGGGTAAAAATGTTTTGTTTAAATCTGTCAAGATGAAATTCATATTCATCATAAGGCGCTAGCTACTTTCTATACCTTTCGCACGGGTAAGTTCATCCTTTTTTCGTCCCACTCTAATCGTTTGTATGGTTGCACTAAAGAATGTTTGTTCCTGACAATATTTTCTAATCCAGCAGCTTTTTCTCGATTGGTAAAAGTGTTGATTGTAGGTTTCTGTGTAGTAGTCGAGAATTTTGTAAACATGTGTATTATGTTACGTATGTCTTGTCAGCTACAGACAAAACCTCCGCTTATGCACAGGCACATTGTCATCACTATCGAAGATAAGCCTGTCGTGTAAATCAAGTGAAAATATTCAAGTTAGCTCAATATTATCATTGCCAAGTAAATATAGTCAAAATTCTATCTCGTAATCATTCAATCGTTGTATTTATAATCCTTAATTACTGCAGAAGTCTACTTGCTGAACTAATCGTCCGTTCATCCAGTGTACTTTGCGTAGGTTGGAGATCTTTATAGGTCTTCCGCTTTCGGCTGTATGATAAGTATTTGTAAACCGTGGCCGTGTTTTTTCTGATACGACATCCAGATTTGAATAGAGATTTTCCGTAAAACCTGTTGTACGGTCTTGCACTCTTGTGCAAGGCCATCTTTTATTCTCTGCGAACCATAGACTATCGTCCCTGATTAAAGTACCAGTTTTATTTGTTTAGATACCCAATTTGTTGATAGACAACAGCCAAAAATTTATGATGGACACCATTTGTGATAGTATTTCTGCGCTAATTGTCTCTTGCGTTTGACTCATGCATTTTTTTGTTACTGTAGCTACGCAGAATGCCACGCCGTTCCAACGCTAATTCTGACGAAAGTCCAGTGACCAGACGTACTAGTGCTCGAATTGCTGCTGCACAGGCAGCGTCCCCTGCCAAGTCTCCAGCTAAATCTCCCCGTCGTAAAGTAAGTTGACATCTTGCTTGACACTTCCAGCGGCAGTCTACTGAACCAGCTAAAACGGTTTCTGACGACACTGAGTCACAACAGTCGCAAGTTAAGAGTGAGAGTAGTATGGAGGAGCTGAATGGTATCGATACTAGTTCTGTAAAGGATACTGAGCTAACTCATGATCTAGCGGAAATACCTCACAAAAAAACCAAGGTTGATAAGGAGTTAGACGATGGTAATAAACTTTGTTCTATACAACTCTCAGTAGATCATTTGTGTTCCGATCCCGAGAAGACTGAAGTTGAGCTACTGAGGAAAATGACACGGTTGTAAATCAAACTCAAGATTCAAATACAACCCCTACTGACTTCGAAGTCGTCGAACATAGTTCAGTACCACCACCTGACAGTGCCGAGTGCAAGCAGCCATCTCGGCGCAAGGTGATGACGGTCAGTTATTGGTTGGATTTATTCAAGTGAATAAGGACGAGTTACCGCCCTCTAATAGTTTGGAAACAAAACAAGTTCCAGCCGCTTTGGAGTCATGTAATGAAACAGTAACATGTGGCGCAGAAAGTGTCAAAAGGACGGATCCTAATGTAGAACCCTGTGTGAATAACCTAAATGGCAACTTTGGGTCCCAAGAGTCTAGCAAAGGTAATTCTTATTTTTCAACGGTCTTAAAATTCAGATGAACCTTCAAAACCCAATGGCACCGTACATGTTGAAGCCCACCACAAAACTCCCGTTCCTATTGAAGAACCAGTTATCCAACCACTTGTTGCTCCGGTTACTGGAGATATTGTTCTCGATGCTGTACCCGAAGTGATTTCTCAGCAGTAATTCATCTTGATTCCTCATTTATGAAATATTTGTCACTTCGCAAGCATCATAAACTGACTGATTAGTTTTTCGTTGAAAATACTGTTAATTTGGCAGCCCGGTCGTTAAGAACTGGTTTTGTTTAATTGTATGTTCATCTATGGATACAGAACTTTTATAAACTAACGAGTCAGTTATATTGACCCTCATCCACTAAACTCTACACCACACGTTTCTATCCATTCCCCGTGTAGGTCACTGGTCCTTCAGTATAAACAATGTGTCTGATGATATTTATACACAAGTTTTTCCGATATTTTGCTTCGTTTTGTTTGTTTCATTCCTTCATGTAAACGCTTACTTCATGAAATTCACAGTGTTGATATTCATCATATACTCATATACGCTTGCGAGATTTTCTATTCTACTCATCATTGTATGTTCGTTTTTAACCTATTTCCATAGTTCCATGTTTTATAGTCACTATGCAATAGTTATTGCGTTGCCTGTATTATCACACTCCATTTGCATTTGGTTGTTTATAAAAATTAAAATTCATGTTTAATACTTGATTAGTGTGTTTTTAAATCCGATATATTGTCCCATTGTTTTAGTATTTTTAATTTGCTGCTCGCAAATTTCGACTGCGATATGTTGCTTTAAATTCTTAGTTTGTTTCAGTTCATTAGTCAAATTGCTACAATTTAGCTGCACTCAGTGTTTACCTTGATAGAACTTTCACACGTGTATTTTCTTAGACCTTAGTAGCTCGATTAGTTTCTTTTAAAAATAGATATCCTTTACTACTTCAGTGATAACTTAGTTGATTATGTGTTTTTAGTAATAGTATGCATCAAAATCAAATAAGGCGTCAACGTACTTGCGAAAGTTACTTCAATCTAGTACTTTCTTAAAAGACTGAATAGGTGTGTATGATTTTTCTTTTACCATCTGATTCGGGCTTTGTATGCAATGTAGACAGCTATTTATACGAAGACTACAAGTGGTCTCGTTTTTCTAGTCTTCATCTTCGCAAAATAGTAACTGGTGACGGAAATAATTATTTGAAGGATGTAAATACCGAATAACATTGCGTAACACCTCAAATAAGTGTTATTGTCATTTGAATGTAGGGTAGTAGTGAATATCTTGCCAGTAGTCTATCAGTACAACTTCATTTGTCGGACCTGTCTGTTTCTTAGTTTTTACATAGACGCCCATCGAAAGTTTTACTAATTGATTTATTAGGAAATTCGCCTATTGACTTGGAGTATGCAGATCGTTGTTCTTTTTGAGGAAGTTCCCTAGATTTGTTGAACAATGCGAAATGTTTGGGATACGTTATCCCCTTGAAATCTCAAATGGAGCATCATGAGTGGTTTTCGTCAATGTCCGTTCTGTTCACGGAGTGAAATCAACCGGCATACATTGAAATTCGTATCAGTCGTTCGTCTGTCCGATCGACACTGATACAAAGAAGACTCATTTGACTTCGGCCAATGTTTTCTACCCGTAACATAAACGAGATATTCGTATCCACACCAGTCCGCTCCATAGTACACTGCGTTTATGAAGATAGGTTACACACAGTCTATTATGGACGTCTTCGAAGCACTCATCATCAAATGAGTAATAGTGAGATGAAATGTAAGACTTTAGGTTAAAAACGATAGATCGGTTGACGTAGATATACAAGTTCATCAACCGAGATAGCTGGGATGTGTTACGTATATTTACGGCCTACCGTGATAAACAATCGTGGTTGGCATGTGTTGAACGAAGACTGGCTAAATAAATACTCCTAACCAGTTCACGAAGGCATCTACTGTTGGTCTTTGGTTGGATGAATAGGTTTTACATGTTTGCATTTGTGTTGGCCGTAGTTTATAATTGATGACAGCCTTCAATCATTTGCATTCGTGGATTTATGTTTATTAATTCTTATGGTGAGACTATAATTTATGGACGACCTTAGAGCGACGCCAAAGTGATTTTGAGTGTCCACCTAATAACTAAGACCAAATAAGGGTAATAAACCTGTGTGAGGAATTAGGATTATGATTTACAGTTGATGGTTAGGATAAGAAGTTACCTTTAGGGTTTTCATCACGAACTGACGTCAGCTAAAATGCTAAAACACTATTTGGCCAAATGGATTGGTGAATTTCGCGCCAAAATCCGGGACCTGTTACCTTATGCCTGGTTGGTTCATCCATGAGTTATAATCTCACCCTTAGTCTTGAACTCATTGTCATTCCATACTTCTCATTCCTCTGCCTAGTTTATTATCTTTGAACTGGGTTTCTCATGTTTATCTCTGAATTGTATTTAACTTGATTTTTCTTATCGTGTCTCTTGTTAATTTCATTTGCTATGCTGTTGTATGGTGTTACAATTTAAATTGATACACATTGGTGTCAAGTCCTACACTAAGTATGACTAATGGGGACTGCTACTATGATGTTGATCGTATTTACCTCTAGACCTACTCGAGTTATGTTTGCTGAATTTTTCTGTGAATTAGTACTATGTCAGACATGCCGGCAGAAGAGCGATAAGAAAAAACGGTAGACTTAATGTATTCGAGTGAAATCATGATGATGTTAAAATCTTACCAAAACGATTCACGACTCAGGTAAGTGTATTTAGTGATGTTACATTCTTTAAACTGAGAATCAAAAGTAAACGTTTACCAAAGCTAATTAGCGTCTCCAGCTAAGGAGTTTAGTAAAGGTCGACCCCTAATATTTCTATCCCATTTATCAGCGACACCCTACCTTAATCTTTTTTTACATGTAACCAGTGCTAACCAAACTTCAAATTACCACTCGGAGCTTTCAGTATTCAGACGCTGCACTTAATTAAACATCAGGCACTACGATAATCATATATCTCAAACCCAAGCGTGGTTATTAACTTTACGTCTAACCTCTGTAGACTCAGCGCTGCATACACTTCGAGTACTTGGGGACCTGACACCAGTTCCTCGTGGTAGTTTATTTTCTCTTTAGTTTCTAAAATATAATAGTTTTGAACTAGACAGTTTGTCGTACAGTATCTATGAGGATAGAACCTAAGAATCCTTAAGAACCAAGATACGTTGGTTCTTTATAGTTTCTAAAGTGGAGATATATAGTTCCGGTGCATGCTTTTGATAGCGTTGAGTCCTTAGTGCTGGACAGCTTAATTGAAAAGCTTTCATTATCATTTTGGACATCTTACGTGCATACTCTACGTAGGCTTTTCAGTTATTTCACGTGTTATATCAATTCATTCTGATGGCTTTTTGTGAGTGTTTGCCTACATAGATATGGTTGTTGTCGTCGCCTGCTCTTGCATTTCGGTTGACTGTCCTCGTCAGTCGACCCCTTCAGTTAGGGTTAATAGATCAGGTTTCATTTCGATGTGTGTATTGATTGTCCGAGTGACATGTTCTTAGAAATTCATTCGGATTCTTAGGGTCCCCTCGATCCAGAATTATGACAGTTGCCTATCCAAATTCATGTCCTTGGTTATCTGAGTGCATTGGCATTAGTGATATATGTCACCTCAGGGTTAGTCTGTGTCCATGTATACGTAGGTGAAGGGGATGTCCACTTTGTGCAATGTAATATTTCTCGTAGCTGGTGTGGTTTATTTTGCAGATGATTTTAGGTTTATCTTTGCCGTTGTGTTAGTTTGTGAGCGACGTTGATTCCGAGGCACTTCAGTTCTTTTATGATAGTTTCTGAGATATTTTCATGTGATAAGACGATCTGTTTTCGGACTTGGTTTTTTTGACGGTATGCTGATTCATATAAATGTACAAATATTTGTTCTGACCAATAAATCAATAATAAGACGTCAAATTAGCAGTTGTTCCCATCAGAACTGCGTATACCGTTGAGATCTTATCCTGAACAAGTAGTCGGGATAATATCCAGTTTTCCCCCATAGACTCAAAGGATAATCAATGAAGATCTGTGGCTGTATTTAGGGAAACGTAGACATTATCTCTTAGTTGTTTGTAATGCAACAGCTGTTCTGGATAGACCGAAGTCGGTTGTATTTGTGACCTTTAAAATGTGAGTATAAACTACTTAAGATAGTAGATTTTAGGGTGAAGAAAAGGGAACAACAGAACTTAGAACTCAGTTTCAGTGATCCATAAACGCAATTTGTGACTAGCCTTAGTTCATATTTGTACGTGACTTTCCAGAAATCCGACTCAGGATAGAAATAGTTCGTGGTCAGCACGGAGCTGTGAGAAGTGACCGTGATTATCTGACCTGGAACTATCGAGTCAATATTGGACACACAGTCTCCTCTTTTGTGGTCCTAGATACTAGGACTGAGCACCCAAGTTCTCACCTAGAACCATGATATCTGTCAAACAGACTTGGAGGCAAAATTCTTCCTTGATGGTATTCGGGCTCCAATCTAGCAACATATTAACACATTTTCCACACCTGTTTCTCCCCATTTTGATCCAGTTTTATCACGTAACGGGACATAAACAATAGTAAATAGGGCTCCAGTTGACTCGTTATATCTCCACTTTGACGCCCAGTGCGATACTGATATCGACGAAACCGGGTGACGAAGTCTTGGATTCCATTCATAAGTTCATGTCGAATAACCTTTTTGAATCGACATACGGAGAACGAATTTGTCATAAGTCACTAGAGTCGTAAATACGGATTTAAGAAATATAACATTGGTTGACATTATGACTTGCCGAAAACAATTGAACCTATCTGCGGTAAGTTGCGAACGGTGAAGACGAGGAGCACAGGTGACTCCAGAGAAACATTTTTATCTGCTGACATTATTTCAGCCGACCATTTGGCTACCTCAGGCTGTTAGAATGGGATAGAGCTTCTAACAGAGGCGAGCTGCCGAGTGATTTAAAGAATTAAAGTGTATACAGAATGGAAATAAAGCTGGGAAGTTGAACTAATGCAAGATAGATTCATTTGTGGTAAACTGATCCTAAAAATCAATTGAATGAAGAGCGAGTAGAACGTTTGTTGAATAATTAT